CTCACAAGTTTCACAAATTGTCAAAGCATCCAAGTAAATACCAATACTTTGTGTTGCTAGGCTCGATATGTTTGTCAAAATTTTCAGGTCATGCCAATAGCATGCCAAATTTAAATAATGGTAGCATAAAGAGGCCTCTGAATTCTTACAGTAGGCTACTGGAGCGAAACGCCTGTCTGTTAAGATGAACAGAAAATATGTCCCGCCTCGCAGAATCCTGTGTCTAATACGTGGAAGGGTCAACACAAACTGACCCTGTCGTTGCCACGAACTATCAGATTCAATAAATTTCTTGAGCAGAATCTGACGACAAGCATTGCCGTCAGCAAGACATGCCAACAGAATGTGACGAACTGGAGGACCACTAAGCGCTCCTGTCGCTACTTAACTGTTGACTCTGCTGTCACTGGATACTGTCTGCTAGAAGGGTTTAAGTGTCATGTTTCACAGTTAACGAGCTCACAAACTAAATAACGAAAACAAAGTTACGATATATCTAAGATACTAACTAAAAGAATGATGTAAATACCAACTAATTAAGAACCTATTAACAATATAACACACTATGTATCTAAAGTCATGTTAGGTGCGTCCCTGTCACCACGGAATGGCGCGTTCTCAGGTTGTGGATGGAGGAAACGGCCTCCAGATATGGAGGGAAGCTGTGAAGATATTGAATAAGCAGTCGCTGACTACCGACAAGAGATGGTGCTGCAGCTTAAGGGTTGGGCATGTGACTAAAACGCATCCCCTAAAACATAAGTTTCTTACGAAATGTCACAAAGAGCCTCAGAACGGGACGGAACCTGTGGAGGGTTCTTGTGAACACGGTAATGAATTTGATTTGTTTCCTTCTGGCCTGTCACACTAATAATATTATAAAAGATAAAACAACTCCGTCCAGTGTGACTGTTAAAGTTTTTACTACTTCAATTCTTAACACCCTTTCATGTTTCGGTCCCTATAGACCATCATCAGAGGGACATCGATACTCTTTGGAAACCACTATTACAGTGGGTGTTTGTAATGCACAATATATACAAAATCCAAAGTTTTACAACTACAGCGGTTGTCTTCGTATATTAAAGTTTTTAAAAACTTTTGTTAATTAAGTTAAAATTTATAAACCAAATGGTTCGTGTCTCTTCTCTTATCGCCTTTCTTGACGGGGGCCGAACTTTTGCCGCCTGTCTTGTAATGAACCTTCGGGTTCCATAAATTGCTGGGAATTAAGTATGTAACGAAACCAAATTACTGACAAGCTGGCTAACAATGTAACTTCACAATGCTAAAGAAACCGACTAAGAGACTGAGAGTTCACAAAATATAAGGCCGATTAATTAAGAAACTGACGGATTGTGTGGGATAAGATCTTCAGTTGAGTGGTCACCAGATATTGAGTTCGTGAAGAAATGCTCTGTTTTTGTGCAACCCGAAGAGTTTATTACGGTCGCAAAGCCTGCCAATTGATTCTTCCCTGAAACACATGAAAGTGTTTCGCCCCTACTGCTCTTACATCCATATGACTCCAAAGAAATGCCTTCATTTCGAATATTCCAAAAGAAATATCCCTCAAAATGTTTTCACGATCCTTGCCAACGGATATTTCTGATACTCGCAATAAGCATCATGCGAACTGAAGGATCCTTGCAAATTTCCATGTCTTAAATTCCTGACAGCTGAAATATTAACGTTTCAGCAGTAAGAAATCCTTAAGTCAGAGAGCATCAGCACCACTCAGTGTAAGGTACTACACGTAAATTCTATCCGGTTATTTTCTTTAGAACATATGAAAATCTGTTAGTGCAATTATTTTGTAAAATTTGAAGAAAAAAAAAACAGCATGTCGGTAGGACAAAATGTATATGCCATTAATTCTGAAAATGTTTTGGCTATAAATACCGAGTACTTAAGCATGTGCGTGTGAGAACATCGTAAATATATCCGTAAATTTTATCTTGGTGATAAAGACGGAAAATGTATGAAAAAATGGGCCCTTCACCCAGCGTCTGGTTGCCAGAGAATATTCTAATGTACGCATCAGATGTGAAAGATTAAAATCTTACTTACCTGTTAATTCTCTATGATTTCTTGTGCATTAATATTTAAGATAATAATATGAGGAAAGTTGAAATTTCTAAGATCATATCTGTACAATTTAAATTTGGAATTACCTAAACTACTGAAAGATTGGGTAATTTGATCATGAGGTGATTTAATTATTAATTTCTTGTTCTTATTAGACCCCCTGGTCCCACTCAGCCTCATATTCAATAGATATCGAGGACGAGTTTCTTGGGGGTAAAGCGGCCTCATCGTGAAACTGACCACTCAACTCCTTCTAGTGCTTAGGTCAAGAATGGTGGAGCTATAACTGCCCTTCTCCATATTTCTTCATTGACTATTTCTTAATTAATTAAGGACAGGGACAACTAGGCTCCTCATATGATTTGAAGTAGGTCTGTTATATGGAATTTAGGAACTGCCAGTTCTCAGAACTTGTTTCTCTCAACTGGCGGAATTCAACAGAAGTTTATCCCATAAAATAAAGCCGAGCTAGCCGGTCCGACCGAAACGTTCTAGATTTCTCGTCCGGAGGTTCTCGGTTCGAATTTTGGTTGTCACACAAATTATCCTGAATGAGGATTTTCTTTGTTTCCTCACACCAATACAAACGCCGTTATATTACAGCGATTGGGCTACAACTCCTTCCTTTCAAATCCTTTACAATTATATTATTAATCGACGCTATATGACACAGATGCTAACAGCGTCGTGAATTACCCCCCCTTCCCAAATGTATAGTCACTTGGCTTGCATCCTGAGTACAGTTCTGACCTTCTTCAAATGACTCTCATACTCAAAGGTTACACTTCTGCTATAATAGATACAGCGGGCCGAGCGATGTGTTTGTAATTGTTAACATATATGATATGATTATTTGCCAAAAATTGGATATGTTTGTCACCTGTCTCCACGCAATATTCACAAACCTTCTTCAGCTCTTCACTAGTTATCTCAGCCACACTGAAAGATAAATATAAATTTCGTGCTACCGCAATGCTATTTTTTATATTCCGCCAAGAAATTATCTCAGTGAAGGTTTATTCCTTTTTATTATATATTACAACAAAAAAATTGCAAAATTTTAGGTACGAACAGCTTCCACGTTTGAAGTTAACACTGATGAAACGTCATTAATATATATCAGGAAACTGGTGGTAATAAAAATGGGTTAGTCCCTAATAATGTGATCCAAATTCAGAATTTCATAGAAATATACCAATTGGTTGAAAAATTGCTAGGTGATAATTCTGCGGGGAGATAATTACATGTGCATAAGAAGTCATGTCAGAAGTCTGTGTTTCTTTACAGTTTACGAAAGCTAAAATAATTGTAAATAATCGTATGAATCTCTATGCCGGTTATGCAATTTATTCTTAATATTACCTGTTTGTAAGCAAACGGTTAAGTTAAATCTGAAAACGACGGCTAGGAAAAGAGTAAATTTTTCTTTTTTCCTGTGGCGCTACAGCCCCAATTTGGGCCTAGGCCTACCTCCATGAAACTCTCCGTTTCACTTCGGTAAGAAAAGAGTAAATACACTTTCAAAATATCTCGAATTCCGCTGCCCTCAGTTTGCTGTTTCTGCCACAGTAAATCTGTGTTAATTAACTGAAAGTCACCAGTAACGTCGGTACAAGTACTAGAATCAAACCACAGCCGGAATTCTAGTGTGCTTTACAGTTAGCCTCTCGTTAATAAACACTGTTACGAGTTCTCGTAAGGGAGGCACATGTAAACAACTAACAGCTTGAAAAAAAGCAGTCTTCTGGGATGTGGCACTGTGTAGATGTGGTGTTAAACGACGTTTAGGAGGAACGTATCGCCTCCATCTTCATGGTAGAAAGAAAAATAAGAAAATCCGCAAGCGAAGAAACCGCGAGCAGTCTGCTTGTCCTGGTTCTCATGGTCTTTTCGCTTGCGGATTTTCTTATATTTCCTTCTACTCTGAAAATGGAGGCGATATATTCATCCGAAACGTCGGTTAACACCACATCTACACGGTGCCACATCCCAGAAGACTGCTTTCTTCATAGTCACCGCCGTGAAAATCTCAAATCTTACACTAAGAGCTTCTTTTTATTGTAAAGATCAGACAGGTCTGAGTACTAATAACGCAGTTAGCACATACGTTTCCATGATAGTCGTCTATCATAGTCTTTACGGATAAAAATAAATAGGCTAACAGTTTAATTTTTTAATATTAAAAGAGTTTTTACAAGGAACATAAATGTTTAGGGAACAGGAGAACTCAGTCTGTTAATACCAGTAGCAACATTATTTCAGGCGTTTAGTTTTTAGCCGTTCGAACGTTGTGACGGCATATTCAATTCCCGCTGATAATATAAATATATGTCAATAATTTTCATTCTTTTGATGTACTTTACATGCAGAACTATCATTCATATACTAATATATACATATATATATATAAATATTGTATTTATTTTTACTGATAAAATCCTATTATATTGCCAACATATTTCGGTCGACTACTATCTTCAAGGGATACCAAATGTTAGTTTACAATACATGGACTTAAAAGGTTTAAAGCATCTAGGTAATTTAAATACAGTCGTCAAAATTTACAGTTAATTAAAATTAATGTTATGCTGAGTTTCATTAATACAACTAGCTCTTAGATACAGTGTCAGTGTTAGTTTTCATTGTGTTTGTATCACACTGCGCAGTACCGTTTTATTGGTTCTATGAGGTTAAGTACGGGATTTTAAATCTTTTATGTACATACATTTTAAACCCTTCTTTGATGTTTAATTTTTTCTGAAGATGATTATCTTATGACCTAAACATGTAGGGTATGTAATAGTTACTGATCAGTAAGAAGGGAATAAGTAACATATACTTGCATGGTGATTTCGCATGTTATTATAAGTCTGCGTTTCTTTATTGTATTGTGTTGTTCTCTATATTCGTAGATGGAGGTCTTGCGATGAGCCGTCCTCTCCTCCCCCTTGAGAGCTTCTACAAATTTTGTGAGAGAATATATTAGAATTAATTTTGAATTAGTGCTCTGTAGGGCTTAGAAATTGTCGAAGAAGAAGAAAAGAGGATTTTAATTTTAGCAAAATTTAATCAAAATTTTGCTAGTAGTATATATGTAGTAACTATTGTTGTATGTGTGTGTAAGGGCCATAAAATCAGGCCCTAGTATTTAGTGTTAGTAAGTTCTAAAACAAGTCCATAAAGACCTTTTGAGCCATCCAAAGCATTTCTCACATTTTATGGAATCCTAAGGTCCATTACAATGTTCACAAGAGAGAGCTACTGAACCTCCTCATGAGCCAGTTGAATTTACTCCTCAGCTTCGTATTCTGTTTCTGTAAATCTGTTTGCATAGTATCCTCTAGTCTATAGCTAATCTTCATAATATTCCCTTCCCTTTAGGCTTTCCGGCTGTAATTTTACAAGCATTTTTCATCTTCCCATGCGTCTCCCATCTCAAATTACGAGTATGAATCTCATCTTTGTGGAAGATTCTCCGTCATTATATTATTTAACTTACTCTCAAGTATAAATTTTGTTGTAAGATTTGAGGCTTTCACGGCAGTGACTATGAANAATTTTGTTATTACTCGTATTTGTTCTCAGACACTTCAATCTATGTTTTAGCTTAAATTCAAAGACATAGTTTCACACCAATACCGAACAACAGATAATATTATAATTTTATTTATTATGAGTACAATTTTAGACACGAGTCATTGAGACCAAATATTGTACTATTCTGGGATATAACACCGTTTAATTTCATAAGTAGGTATCAACATTTCGAAGAAATTTTCCAACTCCTTCTTCAGAATAAAGAGACCATATATGATTTATCAACCGATATACCAAACTACACAGTGCGACAACCTAGAAGAACTTAATGTTAATATTTATCTCCATGAAACTTCAAATCTCATAGAGGAAGATAAAAGATTTTGAACTGAATAGCAGCCCGCCACAGAATATAACCTAAACTAAACAATATGCTGGGCCTATTATGAAGTGAGATTACTTAGAACCTTTTGAGTAAAGTTATAGTTTGACATGTTAATGGAATTCATACTAGTCAAATGTTTGAACTTTGTACAACTAAAACTTGGACGACATCACATTCTCACGACAATAACTCTCTCTTTCTCCCTCAACCGTTGTGCAGATTCAAGGGCGTTCTGATGGAATGTTTTAGTAGAATGAAACTTGTGTTTTAAACAGCGCTGCTACTAGTATTAACATAGGAGAAGTTCTGTAGGCAGCATCTTATAAAACAAGAGACCAGCAGTAGTTTAGGAGATAGAGTTCTCCTCATTTATATTTGAAGCACTATTTGTGTGCGCGAAGAACTTATTCACTCTAACATAAACACGTAGATTCACGGAGTCTGAGAACAGGGTTCTGAAGAGAATATCTGAACCCAACAGAGAGGAAGTTATAGAATGAAACGTGCACAGTGAGAAACTTCAAAATTTGCTCTCTTCATCGAATACTTCACGACTTTTCAATCTCTGTTTTTAAGTCGTGATTTCATATTGTGGCATGACGCCTGAAAGCTGCAATCTGCCCATCTGCTGGGCGGGGCCTCGCTGAACGCGTAAATGGACATCAAGACGTTGAAGACATGGGGACTCAGTACGATTATGCGTCTACTTCAAATTTTAATAGGCTCTATCCCTCCACTTCTGCTTCGTGTGGTAGAGATAATTTAAGTGGACATTTTGTAAGAGCAAAGTTAATACTGCATGTTAGGAACAAGGGTCTGCAATTATGATGAAGTTTCAAAGCTATGATGGAAGATTTTCGTGTGAAACATAGAAATCTGTAATTCAGTACTGATAATATTTCTTCTTTTAACCAATTATTATTGACTATCCAACTGATAAACCTACCTACCTACCTACCTATTACCTAAGCTACCGTCCCAACCATTCTCCAACACACTTACCTAACTACTCACATACCAGCTACATTCTACCTACTCCAAAAACACCCACCTAACACCCCATCCATGCACACGCCCACCCACCTGCTACCTACTACATACATATCCACACACCCACCTACTTACCTACTTTTTATTGCTAGTGGGTGTGATTAAGTCTCTTGTACTGCGGCCACTTCTGGCCTATTGTACCAACCCCATATTATAGGTGAGGGTGATTGTGGAGCAATTGGTGGAATGAAGAACGGCAGGGGAAACCGAAGTACTCGGAGATAACCTGCCCCAGCTCCACTTTGTCCACCACAAATCCCACTTGACCAGACCCGGGATCGAACCTGGGCTGCCGCGGTGGGAAGCCAGTGACTAACCGCTTGAGTTATGGCACGGCCCTACTTACCGACCTATCTCTCCACCTACTACCCACCTACTTACATAAATACCTACTTATCCAACCACCTACCTGATTTCTTACAAAAGTAGCAATGAATTCGTATGGAATACGCTTATCATTCCTTGTCATACGTCATTTCATCTGAAGTTCAGCTTTCAAAGGGTTTACACAATAAGCGTGTGGCACCCAGCCTTCCATTAGACTACCCGAGTTACGTCTATACTATTCGTAGCCGCTCCGATCATGTCAGGAGTCTATAGTTTTCCTGTTCTTCTCGCATGTACCGAGCAGTTTCCTGAAGTTTCAGCACTTACTGTTTATATTCGGGAGGATAAGATTTCGAACCTCGATCACTGGCTGTCCCAGATTAAATCTATCTTGGTTTTCCTCAGTTCACAAAAAAACTGTGATAATTCAGTTATCTCCTTCTAAAATCCTTGAGTGTTCAATATTCATAATAATCTTCTCGTCGTATTCGATATTACATAAACTTTTAATTCTAAACTGTACTAGTTAAGTAGCTCAGGAAACAGCAACAATATTGTACTGCCTCTTGTCAGTAATTTTTTCCTCTGTTTCTCAATGTCTGGCTCTATTGCTACGCTACTGTACCAATTATTAATACATAAAGTGATCTATACCAACCATTGAAGAAAGCAGTCTTCTGGGATCTGGCGCCGTGTATTATTTGTTTCAGCCGACGTTCCTCCGAAACGTCGGCTGAAACAAAGAATACACGGCGCCAAATCCCAGAAGACGACTTTCTTCATAGTAATCGCCGTGAAAACCTGAAAACTTATATACCAACCATTGTTCTTTCACTTTGAGTCTATCCCTCTGTGGCAGTACATTAATATTTATGTGTTTGTCATATTTCTTCATCTTTAAAAGTTTAATTTATTGATAAGTACGATTAATCCAGCGTCTAATTCTTGCAGTGTACTAAGTCTAACATTTCAGGTAGGAGGTTAAAGAACAGATAATACGTTACAGAATATTGAAGTAATTTATTAACTTAATAATATTAATTCAAGAAATCTTCAGCGAAGAACGGTGACTTTCAGTACTTAACTCATAAAATTCCTTCTAGAGCCATTTATTTGGATGCAGAACCCGAGGCACGAGCTGTGGATCGCAGTGTGCTAATGTATGACGCCGTCTGGAATGTAAAACGGCCGTATTATGAATCGGTAATTTCCTCTTAACTCCTCCGACTAAAACAAACTTCGCCTTTCTGAAGTGAATTCATTTCATTTTTCACCGCTTCAAGTTCGCACTTGTGTCATCGTAACTCGAGAAGAATATGCCTCCACCGTATTTCATTTCGTGCACCTTTCTTGTACGGAAACTCTACTCCGCGTGAAACCTTCCCCTTCTACTGCGTTATCTAATTATGAAAACATTTCTGAATGAAATCACACCAGTAAATTTTCCCATCCATTCTTTGCAATATTATTACTGCGTACAACCATATATACGTAGACAAAAAGCAGATCGTTTTCCTTCATAAGTTAATATGCAATTAAAACAAAATACATGGCCGCAATAAAGCTTTTGGAAACGCTTTCTCTCATGAGAGTTCGAGATAGTAGAATTCTAACACCGCTATTTCATATTACAAGTTCATGGTCTGTGCACAGAAAAGGAACAGGGGTTAGAAGTGAGAGGGGAGGGGGCGCTATATAATCACTATTATATATTTTAAGATAAGGTCGCCAAAGCTTAACCATCTCGGTGTTTTATATTATTATAGAAAAGGGTATCGGTTGAAAAGAAAATGAAAACAAGTTTAAATGCGGAACAGGAAATGTTATTGGGGCTTGAGATATAATACAAAGAGAATTATCAAAAGAATTCTAGCTTACTGAAGCTAGAATAAAATGGCTATTAAAGTTGTGAAGTAACAATATTCTTTTGAGGCTAAATTGTACTAGAGGAGTTAGGAGGAAAAGCCACTTCGAATAAAAAATAGACTTCAGTTTTTTTATACATATTTTTAGATAATTTCCAGGGGAAATATATTAATAAGTTATTGCATCGTCATCAATTGGCTTAGTGATTTAAGCTCCATATTTAACAGGTTCCTGGTTCGAATTTCGAGCCAGAGACCACTGTGCTGTATTAAAGTTCATAAAGATATATTTTGGTATTTAAATGGAAATTTTGATAGTGTCCCTTAAAATGGGCAATCACATCTTCCATATTCTTTTCTGTTTACAGCAGTCCTGCAAGACATACTTGAGAAAGCATCGTGAAATAAACAAATTAGGCTGTAAGTAATGTAAGCAATCACATGAAGTTTTGCTTTGTGCTACTGTTAAGTCCGTGCATTTGTAACTTATTTTGCGATATACCTTTCCATTCTTGTGGTCTATTTTAATAGAAGTTGATTTTACGTTCATTTTATAAACAACGTTCGAGAAACTTACCCATCCAAAACTCTTCCTCTCTCCTCTTCTCCTTTCTCACCTCCCCAAACTATAATAATATAACAAAAATATAGAAAAATAAAAGTATAGATTTCTTGAGGCAATGTTTCGTTAGGTAATCATTCATCCTTCACTCACAACTAAAATGTAAGAGTATAAATTTCATATCTATAAACTATAAAATTGGGATGGGGTTTCAGGTAGGGGGGAATTGTTTTTTTAATAAAGAGAACCTCGCTTTGA